TAGGCAGGAATGCCTGAACTGCCAGGCACGCTGAAGGAAAGGCATCCCGAGTGTGGTGAGTGCCTGTTTCATGATAGGGGAGGGTTCAGGGATATCAGAGATGAGATGGAAAAGCTGTTTCCCTTCTATGAGGACTGCATCTGTTACGCCTTGCTCCTCTTCAGCTCATACTGGTAGTAATTAGCCAGACTTTTGTATATGGGTAAGAATCTGACAAGAAACAAAATCTGGTTCTTTGATTTGAGGTGTGGCTTCATTAACAGAGGAAGTAAAACCTGGACTACTTGCTTGGGCACCCAGAGCCCTCTGGGTGTTGATGTAATCCTGTTCCCTGGTCGTGCTCTGTTTCTGTGCTTCTGGAGTCTACAAGAGCTCCCACTTTAAGTCTAGGTTGCCACCCTTCACCCTCTGACTTGGCTCAGGGGGCACCTTTGGTTTCTAGGGCACCAGGATATATTTCCATTATGTTCTTAGACTTTTTATTTGATTGATTTCAGCTTCTTGTTGCACTGTCATCACATTTAGAGATTCTAAAAAATGCTTTTTATTGTCAGCATCTAGAATAGCCTAGACATATAATCACTACTCAGTAAACACAAGGAGTCTACAAAAACCCCGTGGAAAATGTACATTATGGAAAGGCTTCACATGGATTTAAACAATTTTTTTATACTAAAATGAACTTACATTTTAATTCCACTTTTCCATGAACTTTTTGAAGTTCCCACATGTTTATGGACCTGGATTGAGTTGGGGGGCCCCAGCTCCTCTCTCCACCCAATATTTATACTTCTATCAGGTTCTCTCTGTAGTTACAAACTGATTTTTTTAACACTGATTTTTAATGTGTATGACTTTGAGAATATTGGAGCTATTTAGTGAAATACCATCTTCTGGCAGACATAGCTCCAAGCCATCATTTACTAAGTGCTGGGCACTGTGGGAAGATAAGTTGAATGAGACATGGAACAATTACACAGGGCATTTGCCATGTAGTCAAGGAGATGACAATAACCAACCTGATTAATAATGTTGAGACCGATCTGGATATTTTTCAGTTGCTTCTTCCTCATTTGTGTTTAGTTCACCTCTTTTCTTTCTAAGTTTATATTTTTTCCATGAGTAAGAGAGATGAGAGAGAGAGAGAGAAAGAGAAAGAGTGAGTGCCCCAAATAGGATTTCAATACCATGATCCACCCCAGCCTTCAGCCAGCCCTGGATCATGGGCAATCTTATGTCTGACATACTCACGGAGGTCTCTGGGCTTGAACCAGGAGCCTTCCCATGTGGGACTGCTTTGCAGAGTATTGCATTTTACCATTGTGCTACTGTCTGCTCCCATCTCTTTTCCTTCCCAACAAAAATCTTGTTCCAGATCAACAGTCTTATGTGTAGTTGCATATTCAAAGAAGAACCTGAATCAACCCTATCTTTTTTTTGTAATGGCTCCAGCAGACAGGCTGACAGCCTCTCAGCCATTGAGAATGCAGTGAAGTTCAACCCCATGTATGAAAGCCACATGCCCGGGTGTGAGCAGTATCCTCCATATGCCTTCTACAGCTCTGCTAGCGAAGAGGTGACGGGTGATCCGAACAGAGGAGAACTCAGACAGATGTATGAGAGGCATGAGCTTTCCAGAGAGGTAGGAGTTTGTATTTCTGTTGTTGTACTGTTGTTGCTGCTCCCCCTGCTGGTGTGTGTGTGTGTGTGTGTGTGTGTGTGCATATGTATGTATGCATGCAGATACATGGGCTCCAAGAAAAAATGAATACTACCTCATGGTTATTTTTAACCTAATTATCTCTCCCAGTGTGATATGTCTGCAATTATTTTTTTTTCCATGATGAATGTTAATCATTTCATTATGACAAGACAAATGGTTCTTCTTATTACTGTTACACTCATGCTAGAACAATTCTAAGCTATACTTTATTCTCCATGGAGTGACTTCTTTTTCTGTTATTAAGAAACACTCTCTCATTTCTCTTTTTCTTACTTAGAAATATATATCAGAGTTAGGTCCACATATGTAATATCCAGAGCAGTATATGTAGGACTTCCCTTTCTCTGAAAGGGCAATTCTTTCTTATAGCTCTTCCTTGGAAGGTCACAATTTCTTATAAAAATTAGAATTCCTTTAAAAAACCTGTTGAGGTTTTTCTAATGCAATGTGTGGCCTCTTTTTCTTTTCTGTTTAAGGAGATTCAAGAGAGAACAAGAATTTTGGAACTGTATGCCAATGATCCGGAGTTTGCAGCATTTGTGAGACAGTACAAAATGTAAGCATTTGAAGCATACCCTGACCCCCGGTCTTTACTGACAGTTTGCTTTAGAGTAGTGTCACCCGCATGAGCACAAGTCCTGTCCATGTGACAGGCGTCTTGGTGATGGCAACATTTGTTGGGTTTAGTCTGCACATACCTGCACAGGTGATTTCATTTGTTCCTTATAAGGGTTTTGTAAATTGGCTGATTATTGTTAAGATTTTTGCCACAGGGCACATGCATTCATTCATCAGAGAGAGACAGAGAAGGGGGTGAGGGTGGCGTGAGAAATCAACCCTCCTCCCCAAGGTGGATAGCCATGTTACAATCCTTTCTCCTTCATTCTCCTCTTGGGATTTTGGGCACACATGCACATGTGCCTCGCATATTTTTCAAGCTGCCAGTGTCTTGCCATCACACCACCTGCTGACCCACGAATTGGCTGTTTCTTATTGGAGTAAAGAAAGCCTTGGAAAATTGAAGGGACTTCAGATGACAAGGGTAACAAGTGGCAGGAATATTTAAAACTAAGACACTCTCTGTATAGTCCTAGAGATCTCTGGACTATGTCATATTTTCTTTCTTGTTATCATTGAGTCACTAATGATTCAAAACCATAAAATATTTTTCATAGATAGTTTCTATGAAAAGCATTTGAGAAGCAATAAATCCTCACATATTTAAACATGTCCCCTCCTTTTTTTTTCCTTTTAAATCCCTATAGATACTTTTAAGTGTGGCTTAAATCAAAAGCGTATCTCTTGCCTCTATCAAGTTTATCTTGATTTTATTCTGTCTCATCCCATTTGTTTTTCTCAACATGAATTTGGGGCAAGTGTTTGTAATCTTTGTCTTTGCTCTCCAAGATCTATAACAAGACTTAGGTTATGAAAATGAACTGTCTTATGTTGAAGATAATTTATAGTTTTATCAACTGTACTGGGGAGAAATGTTTACCTGTTGAAATACCCATTTTGTAAGCCAAATAACGTGGTTAAATGTATAAAAAATGAAATAAAAAAATTAAAAAAAAAAGAAAATGAACTGTCTTATAAAGAGACCATTGTGGGCATAGTTGAGCACAGTAGGCAGGATTGCCATTTGGCATTGATATTCAGCCCTGCTGTTTCCCTCACAGAGGTTCTTGCTCATGGACAGCTCCCAGATGGGTATTTTTTTTTTTTTGGAGAGATTTTCACTGTAGGGCGCGTGCGCTCGCCAGACAGACAGAGAGAGACAGAGAGACAGAAAGCGAGAAATCACCCCCCAGGGGGGATGGTCACGCCGCAATCCCTTCTCCTCCATTCTCCTCTCGGGATCTTGGGTACGCACGCACACGCGCCCGGCGTGAGTTTTAAGCCACCGGGTCCAGGACACGAACCGCGGTCGACTACGTGGGAGTCCAGCGACATAGCCATTACGCTAACTGCTGGTTCCCCAGATGGGTATTTTTACCTGACTTTTATAAGAGGAAAACCAGTGTCTTTCATGAATAATTATGAAAGAAATAGAAGGGGCTCGATTGATGACCTGGTGGTTAAAACAGCTGGAGCCCACATGGCTGCTTGCACAATTTGAGTCCTGGACCTTATGGCTTCAGAAATGCTGGGCATGTGTGCTTCAAATCCCTAAAACAAGGAGAGTTCGGGGAGAAAGGATTGTGGTGTGACTATTGCCCACGGGGGTTGTTTTCTCCTCTCTCTATCTCTGTCTCTCTCTGACAAGCACTCACATCCTCTAGTGCACACATGCATGCATAAACACATAGACACACAAAATTGATGAAGGGTCAGGATAATAGCCATGGCTCTGGGTGGAGCCTCTTCCCCTTTGCTCCAAATCCTTTTCTTCCGATAGGCATCTACATCGCTTATGGTCTCTCTCTGATAGAAGTATCAAATTGACATCTAAGGAAACTGAGGAAGATGCTCTAATTCCATGTGCATGGTGGATATAACTTCTAAAATTCTCTGAGCATCTGACTTGGCTTCCAGGAGTCTGCCAACCTTGCTGAATGTGTCAGAGATACTGCCAGGAGTCTGCCTATTACACTGGGTAGTCACTCCTCCCTGTGCTTTCAGCTACCAGACAGCCCGTGGCTCCCTTACAGTAGTAGCCAATAGAAAAAATATGAGTGATGTTTTTGTCTTTTCTAAGACTCCTTCAGAGCCGCTCAGGAGCTAACTGCCTGAATATGTTCCCTGAATTAAAAATGCATCTCATCTAGGCTAAGAAATTCAAAGGAAGAATTCAGGTGAGCCTATGCAGGGACACACAGGCTACATGCTTCAGTTTCTTCTGGTGAACTGTCTAGCATTAAAATACATTTTTTAAAACTCCATGAAATAAAGAAGATTTCAACAAGCAAATTCTATGAAACAAAAGAAAGTCCACTCAGAAACTACTGCTTTAAGGAAAACATTCACAGAAGAAAATTGCATTGGAAAAGCTAGACACATAATCTATACGGCATTTTCAGTTTTCACTCAGTCTCAGAGTTTTCATCTACCAAGTACCTCAGGAAGATGTTAATGACCTTGATTTAGGATTCAGTAAAAGCATTACATGGTCTTTGTAGAGTGGAATCAAAAAGAAACTTAGCATAATGTAGAATAACTTTTCTTCAAAGAAAGAAAATAGAAGATATTGGTGATGGGGCCAGCAGGTGGTGGGGAGGTTAAGGTGGCTGGATTTTTCATGGCTGACTGAATGATTTGAATCCTGGAACTGGTGACTTGAAAAACACATTGGGTGTGTGCATGCCCAAAATCCTGAGAGAACAGAGGAGAAGGGATTGCGGCATGGCCATCTTCCCGATTTCTCACTTCCCCTCTTTCTCTCTCTTTCTCTGTCTCTCTGGCAAGAGCACACAGACCTTACAGCAAAACCAAATAAATAAATAGATAAACATAAAGTATTGGTAATTTTAGGAACATAGCCTGGTGATATAATTACAACAAAAATGCATTTCAGTACATTCTTGCTTTTTCAATGAATTGCTTTTTGTTTTTTTCATGGCAGGGAAGAGCTTTAATCAAACTCCTATTTTGAAACTGATTAGAAGCCTGGAGAAGATGGAGATCACTTGTGCTATATAATTAACCTGGATTTTGAACACTGTTGAAAGAAGAATGTTCTATTAAAAAATTAAATGTGAGGCACATGTTTTTTGTTTTTCCAGCTTAAATTTTCAGAATTTAGTAAGAGATGTGGCAAGTTTTGTTTCTACAAAGACCACAAGCTGTGTTTAAAGACATTCAAAACTGCATGAGTTCTGGAAATTATTCTACAAGAAAAAAGCTGGACGTGGGAGTTAGGGCTACAATTGCTGTTTGCTTCTGACTCTTTGAGGGTGTCTCCTAAGAACTGTGCCTCAGGTTTTCCAGCAGGAAAATAAGGTGAGATTTATTACACAAAGTCAGGTTTAGTTAAGTGAATATTTTGTAGTGTATTTGTTATTGTCAAGTGGAATGGGGAAGCCTTTGAAGTAGTTTATAAACTATAGTTTATGGTCAGACATTCATCTAAATAAAATGTTAACCTCTTTTTGTTTTTGTTTTGTTTTTGTTTTGTTTTTGATCAAACAGCTAAAAAAAAACCTTTTTGTTGCAGTCTAGAATTAGGCTTATATTTTGTGCTTCTAGCAGAGTTAAACATAATAATCAAGACCACCTTATTATGAAGCATGTTAGTATCCTACTTTTTAAGCTTTTAGGGAGTATACATATATATATAAAATTCAGAAGGTTCCCATTAATCTAAAGACAACTTTAGTCACATAGGCAGGGAGGTAGTGGATATTACGTCAAGGCCACCAGGCAGAGAAGATACTTTGCCAATTGGTTGGTGGAATGAGACACAATTAATAGGTTCCCTGACTGCATTTGAGATCTAAAGATGTTCTGGGCAAATCTTGAATCTTCTGTAGTTCCTGGGATGTTCATCAGAAAACAGCTCTTAACTACCTCAAGTGGTCTAGATCCCCTTCTTTGCATTGCTTCTCTTCTGTGTAATACCGCTTGTGTAAACCAATTCCTGCTTGCACAGAACAGGGTGAGATTTTTATTGCAATTAAAACACTTCAAAAATGGTAAAGATAGGAAAAACCCAAACCTTAAATAAATTTTGACTGAAAATGAAAATTTTCCTCTTTACCCCTAGTTAATTTTTGAATGGAGGGGGCAAGGAAACAGCCAAATAACCATCCCGATTAACATTAAATTACATGTGCAATAGGTAATTGTTAATACAGGTGTTTTATGTTAGAGATCTTAATATTTGCCAAAAAAAATCATTTTGATTTCTGACCAGGTGTAAGTAACCAAGTATAGACTGACCATAAGATAAAGTACTTGGTTCATTTTTCTTTCTTGACTTGATAACTGCCAATTTCATTCATTATGACACAGGAAACTGAATGTCTGGACTAGGTATGTGCCACAGTAAAGCTAGCGAAAGTCTTGATATCCAGGTACTTGCGAAGGATTTATGCATAGCAGGTTGTGAGTATGTGAGTGTGTTTGCCTATCTCAGTATTCCTTTTCATCTCTTACTCACGTAATGGATCTTTACAAATTCAGCATAGGTAGAAGTCACTGCTGGGACATTTGCTATCAAACCTCTTTGAAAAGTACTTCATAATTATTTTAAGCATTATAGAGGTTATGGTTATTTGTCACTATTCAATGTTTGATATTATTTATAATTCTCTTAAAGATTTCTGCTGAAGATTTAAAACATGTTTCTATACTTATTTGTGTTCAATGAGAATGCATTTTATTACAAATTAATTATAGAATGGAACCCTTTGGCTATGTGCTCACTGGAAGAAGTCTAAGTGGGCATGAAGGTTACCTAGAGCAGGTCACTGCACGGGATGCTTAGGAGAAGCAAAAACTGCGCAAAAGGAGGATCGTTGTTTTTCATGAACACTGAAGTGTGAACTTGGGAATTCGCAAACCGGTTACCATGGCTGATTTCCTTTTGCATGACTTTTTCATTCAAGAACGAGTCGCTTAGCTCTACATAAATGTCTGTGCACTCATGACACTAAAGAGTAGAGGAACCCTCAAACTTTAAAGTAAAGAACAAGAGGCTCAGTTCAGGAATACAGACTTCCCTCCAACCTTTGCTATAGCCACTGTTGAAAGATTGAGGAACGCAGCTGCCGTGGTGAAGATCAATGATGTACAATGCGAAAGGCTAGAGGAGCTACCCATGAAGAACTTCTTTTCTGAAGAGCTTTCTTCAAGGTAATTTAATGGCATGTACTCATTTAAAAGTCTTAGCTAAACTCTAATTTAGACTGCATGATTCAAGAATGAAGTCTTCTGAATTTCTCCTGAATTCGTTTCTTGACTTAGCAATATAATATTCAATAAGACTATCACCTTATTTGAAAACAATAAAATGCATTTACTACGTGGTAAATAATTCACCTTTGTTTTTGATTCTTAAGGTACTGTGAAGTCTTTTGATGTAGCCTTGATAATTAAGTTACACACACTTTCTTTCTGAACAGGGGGACCCTTTGATGAACAGAGCTCCATTTCCACATTGTAATGGTTTAAGGGTATTTGTTCATGTTTATGTGGCCTAATGTCCTATTTATTTTATGTAATAATACAGAGTTTTATTCCCATTTTCATATTTTTCTTCTGCATTATGAGGTCACCAAGGGTTGGTTCCTTCCCTCCATCTTTTTTTTTTTTTTTTTTTTTTGGGTCCCCAGTCACTTTTTAAATAACTCTTGTTAAATGTTAACTCTGAAAAAAGGTGGAAGCTGTACAAATATTCTTTGGAGACTCTGAAAATAAGTTGGCTCAATTATAATACCTGAACTATTGGGTTGTCGAAAAAATAATGTCGTTTTCTATACAAAAATGTGTTTTGATTTTTCTGATGACAAATAGTCATTGATTTCTATGCTTACTTCACAAGTTTGCCTACCATTTCATAGTTCATTTCTAGGCAGTTGTCATCTCTGTCATTTCCATGTTTTTGAAACAATAGGTGCTTTGGCATCTTTTTTTTTTTTTTTTAATTTCTGCGTTTATTGTGGGACAATGTTTGAAGCTTTTACAGTGTCCACTGTAATCAATTTGTTTTTTCAGAATTTGTTTCAATTTAAGAATTGGTATGTCATCTCCTCTCAGAGAGTGAAAAATAAGGGGGACCAGCAGTTAGTGTAATGGCTATGTCGCTGGACTCCCACGTAGTCGACTGTGGTTTGTGTCCCGGACCCGGTGGCTTAAAACTCACGCTGGGCGCGTGTGCGTGCGTGCCCAAGATCCTGAGAGGAGAATGGAGGAGAAGGGATTGCGGCGTGGCCATTCCCCCTGAGGGTGATTTCTCGCTTTCTGTCTCTCTGTCTCTCTCTGTCTGTCTGGCAAGCGCACGTGCCCTATAGCAAAAAACTCTCAAAAAAAAAAAAGATAGTGAAAAATAAGTAATCCAATATCCTTATCTTTTTTGCTCTGGGTGCCAGAAGCTCAGAGTCAAATCTGAAGTTCACCTATAATACTATACCAACTTCACAGACAACATATTGACATATCCCTTTTCCCTTAGTTTTAATTTCATATATCTAGTCAAATGCTATTATCAAGCATGTTTAAAACTCTCTGGTTCTAAGACTGAATAGGTTCTTTTTAAAAATTAATTCATTAATTAATTTAGTCTCTGAATTGAATGTCCATTTTGCAATGGGATTACAACATATTTGTTTTATAAAGGAAGAGCTGATTTAGGAGGCTAGCTATCTTTTCTAAGTTGAGATATTTTAGCCAAGAAAAATATGGGTCATTTATTTTCCCCCTACAATATTTCTAACAATTCCCAGTAGGAATGGGTGGGGCTGGCCTTCCTCATTAACAATCCAGCTGCAATGAGTCAGGATCCCAACTCGTGCGAGTCCTGAGTGTGTAATAAATGCAGAGAAATGATGTGAAGTTCCCATCTGCAGATCCATTGCATTCTGTTCTGCGAAGTATTCTGGCTGGAGGGAGAAACATGGAAGTGCACTATAATGATGACGTAAAGAATTTGCCTGAAAATGTCCTTGATTGCTGCATTTTGTAAAACCTTACTTTAGTTCCATGAGTTAATAACAGACAGGTTAAACCACTCCCCTCAGGATAGTAAGACACAGGTTAAAACACTTCCTTCAGCCACACAGTTATATT